GTATGTATGTATGTATGTATGTATGTATGTACATGTGTGTGTGGGTGTGCAGGTGTGTATGTTCGTATGTGTAGGTGTTTATGTGTGTGTGTGTGTCTGTGTGTGTATGCATGTGCTTATGTATGTATGCATGTATGGATGTATCTGCCTATGTATGTATGTATATATGTATGTATGTACCTATGTATGTACTCATTTACACACACATACAAATGTATACATAATTGCGCATACGTATATACATGCATGTGTATATATTTATAGGTGCGTATATATAGATATATGTCTGTATATATATATATATGTATACATGTCTGTATCTATATATATTGTTTGTGTATGTATATACATACACATGTATGTATATACGTGTGTGTCTACCTATATGTAATATCTGTAAACAGATATAAATATATGAAGAATCGCCATTAAGGTCATCACCAACCTCGCCATAATTATTAAAACCATCATCATGCTCGTCATAATTATCAAACCACCATCATCGTCTTCATAGCCCTAGTCTTCTTCGTAGAACCCAGATTTTATAATCATCAACATCATCATCACATATCATCATACACATCGCCAACGACATATTCACAATCGTCATCATAATCAGCATCGGCCATCATCAGTCATCGTTGTTATCATCCACATAGAACGTCGTTATAGTCATCATCATAAACATCGAATCATCAATGAGACAGAAGCCAAGAAGCTGGAATAATTACCAGTACTTTTGCTCAGGGCTCAAGGCTCCTTGTTTTTACTGTTACACATCCCGGCGTTCACGGCTTTGAAACATGCGACAATAATCAACAACATGTTGTTACGAAACAGAGTCTACTTAATGTATTTCCGAACAGGGTGAGAATTGAAATTTCCTATAGGATTTGTGAAAAAAACAAGGGTGCGAATTGTAATTTCCCATAGGATATGTATTTCCGAACAGGGTGCGAATTGTAATTTCCCATAGGATTTGTGCTTGGAATCCAAGAAAAACAAGGTGCGAATTGTAATTTCCCATAGGACGCTGTACCTGGATGCCAAGAAACAGAGTCTACTTAATGTATTTCCGAACAGGGTGCGAATTGTAATTTCCCATAGGATTTGTGCTTGGAATCCAAGAAAAACAAGGGTGCGAATTGTAATTTCCCATAGGATGCTGTACCTGGATGCCAAGAAAAAGAGTCTACTTAATGTATTTCCGAACAGGGTGCGAATTGTAATTTCCCATAGGATTTGTGCTTGGAATCCAAGAAAAACAAGGGTGCGAATTGTAATTTCCCATAGGATATGTATTTCCGAAAAGGGTGCGAATTGTAATTTCCCATAGGATTTGTGCTTGGAATCCAAGAAAAAGAAGGGTGCGAATTGTAATTTCCCATAGGATGCTGTACCTGGATGCCAAGAAACAGAGTCTACTTAATGTATTTTCGAACAGGGTGCGAATTGTAATTTCCCATAGGATTTGTACTTGGAATCCAAGAAACACAAGCGCTAATCAGGGTGCGAGCGGGTGCGAATTGTAATTTCCCATAGGATATGTATTTCCGAACAGGGTGCGAATTGTAATTTCCCATAGGATTTGTGCTTGGAATCCAAGAAAAACAAGGGTGCGAATTGTAATTTCCCATAGGATGCTGTACCTGGATGCCAAGAAACAGAGTCTACTTAATGTATTTCCGAACAGGGTGCGAATTGTAATTTCCCATAGGATTTTTGCTTGGAATCCAAGAAAAACAAGGGGGTGCAAATTGTAATTTCCCATAGGATGCTGTACCTGGATGCCAAGAAACAGAGTCTACTTAATGTATTTCCGAACAGGGTGCGAATTGTAATTTCCCATAGGATTTGTGCTTGGAATCCAAGAAAAACACGGGTGCGAATTGTAATTTCCCATAGGATATGTATTTCCGAACAGGGTGCGAATTGTAATTTCCCATAGGATTTGTGCTTGGAATCCAAGAAAAACAAGGGTGCGAATTGTAATTTCCCATAGGATATGTATTTCCGAACAGGGTGCGAATTGTAATTTCCCATAGGATTTGTGCTTGGAATCCAAGAAAAACAACGGTGCGAATTGTAATTTCCTATAGGATATGTATTTCCGAACAGGGTGCGAGCTGGCGGTTTCAGCTGGGGGAAACAAGCAGAAGTCTAGAAAAGTGTTTGAATTCTCCGCAGATACAACGAAGAATTTCGAAGAATTTCGAAGATTTACGAAGATCTAAGAGGAATGGTCTAGAAAAGTGTTTGAAGTTCTCCGCAGATACAACGAAGAATTTGGAAGAATTTCGAAGAATTTCGAAGATTTACGAAGATCTGAGAAGAATGGTCTAGAAAAGTGTTTGAAGTTCTCCGCAGATACAACGAATAATTTGGAATAATTTGGAATAATTTCGAATAATTTCGAATAGTTTCGAATAATTTCGAATAGTTTCGAATAATTTCGAAGATTTACGAAGATCTAAGAATAATGGTGAAGAACCTGGAAGAATGAAGAATATTATGGAAGTTTACCGAAGAAAACGTAATATTTCCGAATATTTAAGCAGAAATTCAAACATTTCTGAATATTGTTGAATAGGGTTAAACACACTGAGAAGTACCCTTCTGAGAAGCCTCCCTATCCTCACAGAAGACATGAGAGCGCACGAACAGGAAAACAATCCGAACTCTATAGGACCCATACCCTAAACCGGACCACCTTTCAAGCAGGTCATCTAGCACAGAAGTGGTCCCAAACACGATCGGCATGCCTTGCAAGCGGCTTTAGGATTAAAAGGGCTTGGGCCTGCGTATAGGCCGGGGTTAAGGGTTTTGAAGAGGCCTGGATGCAAAAGGGGCTTAGGGTCACAAATACGCGCCCTTCTATCGTCCCTATCTGGCTTTTCTATGCTAATTTAGGAACCTGATTCAGAAACCCTGGGCCTACAACCCCAAAATACTAGGATTCCTATCAGGAACCCCAATAAAGGCCCAAAGTTTCTTAATCAGGTTCCTACATGGCTATAGACTTGAGTCCAGTGGCAAAAAAAGGTTCCTACATAATACCCCTCCCCCCCGAGAATTCGAATTGCACCTCTTGTTTTAGGGGGGCTCCAGCAAAGATGGCGAGAAGCTGCGGAAGGGTTTGAAAGCAGATCTGACAGGGCTTTGGAGACCTTCCTGCCTCGTTCTTAAACGTCTGGGACAGTTCTGAAACGTCTGGGACAGGGCCAGGGTTTTCTTGCCTGGGCTAGACGTTTCAGAGGTGGGGAAACTGACATCTGAGGCATTGATTGGGAGGATCTGCGGCAAAAAGGCGGCCGGCTCTCAGTGCAAAAGGCAGTGGTTTATGTTTTTGCTGCTTCTGCCCGGCTATAGTACATATCATATACATGTGTATATATATATACGGTCAACTAGGACTGGGACGATGCGTTGAGTTTGTGGCAAGGCTGTAAATCAAACTCCCACCAAGCCGACAGCATGTGGGTAGTTCTCTACATTGGGGTCCCTCTTTGGGTCACCAGTATGGTACGGTTCTGTTATAGGAATGATATTTAAACTTCGAACTGCTGTCATGTACGTATCTTCAGCGACTTTCGGTCTAGGGCTTAGTGTTAGTTTCAGGATGGTCGGAAGCTGAACAGTCTGAAGAGCAGGCTCAACGAATCACAAGCACTGGCTTAGAATTTAGAACTTAGGTTTCAGGGCTTCAACAATCATATAGGGACTTGAAGGGACGACTATGACTCGTTGCTCCGACGGCGAGAGGGAGGCCTCGGTAGTGCCACAATATCTTCGGGGCTGAGTATAGGTGACCTTTTACTTCTTGGGGCTTATATCATTATATACTCCTACTATATCATAAAAGGCTAACCTCTTGTAGGCTCGGGCACTCAGCCCCGAAGATATTATGTACGTCAGGGAAGAGTGGCGAGTCCAACATCACGCTGAAGCTGGGCAACACCAGGCTCACTGCCGGGCTTTCGTCTTGAGTCTGGGGAGGGTTAGGGCACAAAGCCCGAATCCATTCCCAAAGGGTCCTAAGTACTGTTACGGGGGGGGATACTTTCCCAAATCATAATAACAGCAATAATGGTTCCTAATCTAGGAACCCTACATTCTACTAGAAAGGTATAGGCCCTGAACTATATAGGTAATTACTTTCAGGAACCCTTAAAGGAACCCTAAACACTAATTCTTTGATGTCATCCTGAAAGACACCCTACATTCTACTATATACAGCAAACCCAGAAAGTTGGAACATGAGTTTAGGATGATTATTGCTGGGATCCCTTATACTTTACCTTATGTGCATGAGGAGTATGGGTTGGATACTGCCCCCACTCAGTAACAGTTGGATAATATTCTTACTATGGATATATTAGGCCCGTAATAGTAGCCCTGTTATAGACTGTTAGTGTATGGGGGCAGTATCCAAGATATGGGGCTCTCTGGGATCGAAAAAGAGGACATCGAAACGATTTCAGGCCTACAGCTTCGATTCTCGCGGGGCCTAGAGGTGAGAGGTGGCGGGCGTAGGCAGCATGTAGGATGAGGGGCCCTTGGGGTTCAGGATTTCTAGACACCAAAGCTACATTCGGACATGCTACACACATTCGGGCCTTGCTTGCTTAGTTTTAAAATGCAAGACACGAACCCCACATGTGGCCTGTAAGCTGTAAACATCCATCGGAAAAATTGAAGCCCGATAACCCTCTGCCCCTCAAGCCTTAACACCCCGAACGCTGTCCCTAAAACCTTAAATTGGCCTAAACCCCTAACCCCCGAAATCCCTAAACCTTCAAGCCTCAACATTTGTCTGAAGGATCTTGCAGGCTGTAGCCATATTCAACAAGACGTAGAGTTTCACGATGTCGCTGCCTTCACAAAATTCGTCTTTGCCAATTTCCCAGTCTGGCAAGTAAGGTATGCTAGTTATGAGAAAGCCCTCGCCCCTTAACACCCTAACCGAAAACTCTAACCCCTTAAACCCGAAACCATGAAGGATGCGAGATTGTGGAGCTGGCATACTCAGCCAGTGCCTGCCGGCGAATGTCACCTCTTTGGACATGAAGGCGGTTTCAAGATCCTGCTGCTTACGGTGTGCATTAAGGTCCCTAGTTGTGCAGGGCTTCGGGTTGTTTTAAAGGTCCTCGGGGGCCCTAGCGTAACACCTGCGACACCAAAGATCAAACTGCACCCCTGGTTCCTGAATTTCCTAGGCCTTTGGTACTGTCGCGTAGTACAGAGCCCTCGACCTTTCTGTTGCGACACGGAGGAAACATTCTGCCGGCTGTGTCTTGCTTCGGCCTAGTCTAGTGGATGATCGGCCTAGCGTTGCGGAACGGTTCGGTTTTGTTTTTGAAGTGGTTCCAGGGATATCAACAGGTCCGGATGATTTCGGAAGCAAGATGCGAAACAGCTTGCAATAAAGCTACCGTAGCAGCCTCCGCAGCTCTGCGAGACGCCTTTGATTCGGGCTCGTTTAATTTCATCACGTAAAGTGCAGGTCCACCAGTTCACCTCAATCTTTGGGATGTCTTGGGGCCCGCCAACAATGCAGAAACTATACCTAGTAGACCCTGGCAAGTTAGTTCCGAAGCCCTACATACCTACACCCCACAAGCTTAAGCCCTAAGCAATCTAAACCCTAATCTCCTAAACAGAAACCTCGGGTCCTTCTTCGGGTTCTTAATAATATGGATCCTATTATATTGGGGTTACAGGCCCAGGGTTTCTTAATCAGGTTCCTACATTATACTGTAGCTCCTCTCCTTCGCTTCGGGGCTGCCAGGAGTCAGATGGCAAACGTGGCGCTGGCCTTGGGGCGTCCGGGTACAAGGCACCTTAAGAAGATCTCGGCCATGATTTAGGGTTTTAGAAACAGGCAGATCCTGGGGGAGTTTGTAATATGTAGGGTGAACTGGTTTCGGGGCTAAGGTTCGGACCATTGATAAGCATCATAGACTGGCGTGGCCCAAGTCAAGAGGCCCCCCAGGTCCTTAGATTCTGGAGGCTCGGCGACTCCCCCAACGAAGCCCAAAAGCCCCAGTCTCCTCGAAGCCCTCATCCTCCGCCACCAGTTGTCGAAGTCGCAGGCCTAGGTAATCCGAAAGTTTTGTTCTTGAGCTTTGTTTTGGGAGAGGGGGTGAGGGCTGAGGATGTGCGTACCCTAAAACCTGACTGCCAGGTTCTCTCGCAATGCCCGAACCTGCAAGAGATCGACGGCAGCTACGCTGCACATCAAGTCCCTAAGCACGGCGATCTCATTGCATGTCACGATGCTGAAGCTGCGGAAGGTTGTAGTCGTGTGTTGCATGTGCATCTGGTATGGTCAATCGAAGTTTCTCCACTACTTTTCTGACATGCTAGTTTGCGCTGGCTTGCCTGACTACTTGCTAATTCGTCTAGACCTAGTCTACCAATCCTACTGATCCCTGTCTGGTTGTTTGTTTGCATGATGCAGGACTGGTTAGGTAAAACCCAACGCAGAGACACCCTGAGAAACTACATCCGACGTGCCAGTACTTCCAGTGAGCGGAAGCAGAACAGCACGCACCTGCATGACTGGGCAACCATCTTTTTAATTTCCCTGGACCTCCAAATAGCCCAAAGTAGGTACTATTTGTAGACTTTAGGCCCCAAATGAGTTCCTATTTGTATACTTGGAGCCCTAGGGTTTCGAAGGAACAGAACCGGTTTGGGATTGTTCCCGCCCTTTGTTCAATGCGCCCGGCTCGCTTCCACTCCGAAGAGCTGCACAGTGTTTCTGGCTGGTTGGCTTGTCCCTTTGCCAGCACATCGCCTCAAACCGAAAACGACACTTTTTCAACCCAAAACCTCACGCCCATTGTGTTGCATTAGGGTTTATGGTTGAGCCGATTGGCTCCTGACCCGGTCTGAGGCGTTCCACTCAGAGACTTCCAGGAGCTTTTCAAACGGGCTGGATGGTGACTTTGGTTACGAGTCTAGGGTTCGTTGATTCAAAAGACTACATCCAACGTGCAGCGTACTTCATGTGCTTTAAGATCGCACCATCCAGCAGTAAGACTTCAGCTTTCGTGGTTTCAGGAGTTTAGCATAGCGTGCAAACCTAGCATCAGCTCGCAAAGAGAGCCTTTCTCACATAGCGTATTATGACGTAATATGGCTGAGCCAGAGTGTCCCCTCAGAGTGCTCGCTGCACAAAGGCCTATAAGAACGGATTTGCTCAAAAGAAGGTGCAACTGCTACACGTCCGGGTCTGGCATAGGTGTTGCTTACAAAGATGACCAGGAAGAACTCGCCACATACTCCCAGGGTTTAGGGTTTAGCGTACCCACTTCTCAACCCTAAAGCCTAAACCCTGAGATCCTGTAAGCCATACAAATACGCCAACGGAGATGAGAGCTTTGCGCTCTCAACCGCTGTTGTTGTTAGCGCATCCCTGCCTCGATTGGTGGTTCTGTTACGACATGATTTAGGATCATAGAGGAGTACCTATCTTGTTTGTCAAAACGACATGATTTAAGATCATAGAGGAGTACCTATATGGATCTTCGGGCCTTTTGTTTTTGCTTTGAGTCGGGGCCTTTATCGCCCATATAATCGAAACTCCCACAGAATCCCACAGCCGCTGCTGTAAAGCCAAAGCCAAGTCACACTTGCAAGACCTTGCTCTTATTCAAAAAGTATTTCAGAATTTTCAACATGATCAAGATTAGTATAAAGAATAACATCAGATAACAACGAAGAATACAAACAGTATAGAATACTACGGTTGTTGATATAAATCCTGCCTTACACATAATAAGGAATATACCATAGTTCCCATAGTTTGGGGTCCTTAAGGTAATGCAGCATTTATATCATCAACAGTATGACATAAAAGCACTTACAGCTCACCTGTGCATCCCGAAGCTCAGGCTCGAACATAGGAACCTCGTTTCGTGTTCCTCACGGCTTTTGTAAACCATCCAGTGCGCACGCCCCTGGTAACCTAGTCTCTCTCTCTCTCTATCTCTCTCTCTCTCTCTCTCTCTCTCTCTCTCTCTCTCTCTATTTGTAGCTACATACTTATATGTGTATAATACATATATACATGTATATATATATATATACACACACGCATTTATATATAAAGGGGATATATTCACACAACTCATATAAGTATGAGCAAAACATAGGCAAACAACGAACTAGCATATGCATAAATAAGTTAGGTGCATCATTGCGCATCTGCATATACATATGTAGCTTACTGGGTCAGTGCCAGCTTCCCAAATCACACTCAGGGCAAGGTCCCTCTGCTCGCCCTTGGAGCCAACACTTCAGAGAGGCGTGAATGAACGAAGGTTACTGGGTCTTCGGGTTGTTCTGTGAGGAGTCGCAAACCTCCCTGGACTTCTCGGCCCGTCCGCCTCAATCGGCGGGCGCTGTTGCGGCGATCATCGCAAGAACGGCGCCGGCCTGAGCCCAGTTTACGATTCTGGATTTCGGGCTTGGGGGACTATAAATTTGAATTTCTGGGCTTCAGGTTTAGGGAAATATGACCGTTAATTTTGAAAGTTCGGGTTTTGGGGGTTTAGGGGAGGTGTGGGAGCTTTGGCGTTTCGGGATGCAGGTGCTGAGTTCCACATCTTCTTGCAGCTCCATAACATGAGCGTGTGCAACATACTCCGCATTCAGGAGCACAGAGTTATTATACAGGCCTGCAATACTTGCCCCTGACACCCTATGTAGAGTTCGCGATGTGCGACAGAAGGCTTCTCTCTATGGGATGCTGAGCTTCCTGGTTATGCTGGCTATGCTTTTCCCAATTGCATGCATGAACCCTAAACCCTAAACCCTGACGATCCCTCCTAGTGAAGTCGCACTCAACAGACTCCGAACCACATGCCTCGCCTGGATTGTCCGAGTGCGAGCGCCGAAACCCAAAACCTTGCCTTGCCTGCCTTGTGCGAGCGTGAGCGTCGAAGCCGAGGGATAAGTTGCCATGTTTTGCGTGCCCGAAGCGCTTAGGGTGCATGTGACTCTTGGCTTCGGGCCTTTGGTTTGCCGAGCTTCGCCTTGGAGGGGTGAAATAAGGGGCCTTGAAGTTTTGAAGAGGGTTTTGGGTGTATTGTGCTATAGTTACAAGGCTTGAGTATGGGCTTTGAAGATGTTGCGCCGTTGGGTATCATAGTAAAAAGGTTACCCTAATGAATGCAGTGGTGCCGGGGGACCTAGCTCAAGTCCGACGGTCAGCTCAAAATCCGTGTGGGAGTTTCCGAAAATTTGGGGTACCTTAATTTTGGGGTCCTTGCAATCAGGATCCTACTTTTTAGGGCGCTATATTAGGGCACCCTATTTTCAGAAACTCCCATGTTCGAGAAAGACCTTGGCAACTCCCGGCAAACAGCTCGGCATCCGAAGACCCTAGGGGCTTCGTATAGGGGCCTTGATATTTACGTATACTAGTCTGAAGCTCCTTATCATGAATACAGTATAATGGGCCACAAAGCGCTGTTCTAATTATTAAGCCCCCAGATTACGAGCTTAGCCGCGACACCAACTGTCTTGAATCTTGTTCACAACCTTGACCCTAAACCATCCTCTGAGCATAGTAACCTACACCCTTGCAGAGGTGCTCACACCGAACCTGCAGCACTTAGATTTGTCCGGCAGCGGCTCGGCTGGCGCTTGATTTCTTTAGGAGTTTGGGTGTTCATGGTGCATGCTAAGAGCCCGGCTGCAAAAGATCAGACTTGCGTTTTTCCCAGTGGGTTGCAGGCACTGGTACTGCAGAGTCTTACAGCACTTACGACTTAGAACCAACACGTACCCAGAATTGCTTCGGGCCCTGCAAGCTCGACGACATAGGGTTTCAGGTATTTTTTCCCTCCCTTCTATCTCTCTCTCTCTGTCTCTCTCTTGCTCTCTCTTTCTCTCTCTGTCTCTCTCTCTCTCTCTCTCCTCTCTCTCTCTCTCTCTCTCTCTCTCTCTCTCTCTCTCTCTCTCTCCTCTCTCTCTCTCTCTCTCTCTCTCTCTCTCTCTCTCTCTCTCTCTCTCTCTCTCTCTCTCTCTCTCTCTCTCTCTCTTTCGAGCTTTTGGAAGGACCCATGCGGTTATCAGGCTTTTGGTGTAATTTTTCTGAAGGATAGGCCTATCTTTACAAGCCTGCCCTATACCCTTGACCCTCAATCCGAAAACCGAGCTGCCGTGATGAGGGTGCGAGACATCCGAACGTGATCGAGAAATCGTGATGCAATGCTATACAGGATTTCGAAAAGTCCTCTCCCTACGCCCTGTGGAAAACCGCTTCACGGGTCCATATGGTTCATGTGACGCGGACAAGGGGTATTCAACATAACCACAAGCGAGCCCTACATTTAAGCCGTTTCCCAACCCAGAACCCCTTGAACCCCCAAACCTGAGACTCCGATGCCAAAACACCTAAACTCTAAAGCCCATCGCTCTGCTATGCTCTGCTCTCCCAAGGCAACCTCACCAGCAAGTCGCACGTTCATCCCTTGACCCCGGTTTGCGGCGGCTCGGGAGGCCCCCCGGGTTCTCACATCAATTTTCTGAGTTCTTGTTAACGGATTTGAGCTACCATAAACAGAAACCCAAGAAACCATAATATGTACTGTAGATACCTATAATGGTAGCTTAAAGTAACTTCTGGAGCAAGACCGCAGTTTTGTTGTTTCTGGGTTTAGGACTTTCGGGCTTCCGGCTGCCAGATCATGTTTTCGTTGTTTTAAGGATTTAGAGGTTTCCAAAAATTTTGGGGTGCCCTTTTTGGGGGTCCTCATAATCAGGATCTGACTATTTAGGGTACCATATTGGGGTCCCCTATTTTCGGAAACTCCCATTTAAGGTTCAGAGATTCCCTTCAGGGGTCGTGGTTTCCCACCCTACGGTAAACCCCTAAACTCTGAACTAGCTTTGTTGACACTCTGGGTGATGTCAAGCCCGCATCACGGAAAGCTCGACTCACTGTGTCTGAACCCAGCAAGCTCTAAATTCTCCAAGCCCGAAGATATCAATTCAGGTCTAGTACACGACAAAGAAGGTATTGCTTCGGCTGTTGGGGGCAGAACTTAAATCCTGTGTCTTGAATTCCGACCTCGAGCCCTAAACAAGGTGGAAGCAGGGGCTCAGAAACAAGAAAATAACTCAACGGACCCCTAAACCCTAAACCCCTTAAACCCCAAAGCATAAACCCTACACCCTAAGCCTTCAACCCTGAACCTTAAAGCCTAAACCCTAAACCGGTCAGTCAAAGCTTTGCTCACGTCCTCCAGCCCCGGGTAGAGGCGAAGCCACCAGACGATTCGGTCGTTTAGGGCTTTAAAAGCCAAAAATATTCCTAAGCCCGTTTGGGGCAGAGGGTTTAGGGCCTAGCGTAAAAACCCATCATATCCCTCGACCCGTTGAGGGTTTAGGGTAGACTTTGTAAAGATTTCGATAGAGTTGCTGGAGTGTTGATGGGGCTCTCTCGGGACCATTCTCGGTTCGAGATGGTACGCAGATGTTTGGGCAACTTGTCACAGTCCCCAATGTAGCCCCGATGTATCTATGGCATAAGATGCAGCATCAGTCAGTCTTATAGAGATATCACTTAGTTCTTACTGACTACTATGATTATGCTTATGATTACTAGAAAGTCGCCAGCGTTCATGAACCGATCTTTGAACCTTGCAGGGATTGGCTGCAACGGCGGCTGCGATTGCCGCAACTATCAGGCACGCACATCGCCGACATTCCTGCGGGCTTTCTCAGGCTCTATGGATTATTGGTTCGGGTTCAGACTTTAGGGTTAATATTGCTTCGGGTAACGTACAGTGACGGAGTACTGAGAAATCTTGGGCCGATCTTTGTTTTGTAGGGGCCTTGCTGTAACAATTAGAACAGGGTTTTGGGGGGTTCCTCATTATACTTCTAGTATATAGAACATTCCCCAATCGCTTTTCAAAGGAGTTCGCAAAGACAGGGTTTGGATCATCCTTGAGGTCTTGGCAGGAGCATTGTATATGTGGGGCACCCCGAGCCTGCCACCGCGGGAAATTGCTTGGAGACCCGGCATTCTGATCCTGACCGTCGTTCCGGGTTCTGAAAGCCTCAACAAAAATCTGAAAATTCGAACTCTTAAGAATACTATCTCTCAGCCCTAAGCTATGGGGAATAGATTTCTAATCGTATTGCCCTAAACCTTAAACAATGCGAAGCTTGGTCTCATGGCAGGGCTCGAACTACTACACCCACTGTGCCGAATGTGATCTGGACTTCTGCTCCACCTGCTGCATGTCTCCGTGTCCGATGTGTCTCGGCTTTCTTGCGACTACTTGGGGGCTTGCTGTTGGTTTTTTCACGAAATATCTGAACCCGATAAAACCCGTGAAGATCGGCGTATAAAACGCAAGGCAGGTGGAAGGAAGGTGTGTCAATCCCATCCCCTAAACAACAGAAGGCCCCTGAATACCAAAGCTTAAACCCTAAACCCTAAACCCTACTAGACCCTTGGAGGGAATTCATCTGTTCTGCAGTTGGAAAAGGTGTTCAACAAAACCCTGCTAGACCCTGAAGTCCTAAAGCCTTCAAGGATAGATTTGGCCGAGTCTCTGGTGAGACTTCCTCACCTGGTCACTTTGAAGCTGGCAGACTGCTGCTTCCAAGGCAGCCCGGCGGGGTGCGTTGAGGGCTTTGGAGACGTGTAGCGTCGGCTAAGGATACTATCAGGGTTCCTTGAAAGGTTCGAGAAGGGTAGTATAGGAGGTTTGTGGGGGTTTAGAATTTCGAGAACTCAATCTCGAAACCGCTGAGCACTAAATTAAGTTGAAAAACTCAATCCCGAAACCGCTGCGCACTAATGTTAAACTCTGAGCCTGAAACATCAGTCTTACTTGATCATGTCTGAACTCTAAACTATCAGTCTTAATGAGTCTCTCACTTTGTCCTTGGGGTGTAGTTCGGGTTCTGCTATAGGGATATATGATCCCGGTTCTCGGTTCACCGACCCCCCCCCCCCAATGGTATCCCCCCCCCCCACGCTCCCCAAGCCGAATCTGTGTGTCCACACGAGGGCTCACACGCCAAGCAGACCCACGCAGGAAACCCAAACCGCACCACACCACAGGGGGGAGTGGGGTAACCAGCCTAAGCAGACCCACTCCCGAACCACACCACACCACAGGGAGGGGGAAGCAACCCACAACCACACCACACCACAGCAGACCCACGCAGGAAACCCAAACCACACCACACCACAGGGGGGAGTGGGGTAACCAGCCTAAGCAGACCCACTTCCGAACCACACCACACCACACCACAGGGAGGGTGAAGCGACCCACAACCACACCACACCACAGCAGACCCACGCAGGAAACCCAAACCACACCACACCACAGGGGGGAGTGGGGTAACCAGCCTAAGCAGACCCACTCCCGAACCACACCACACCACACCACGGGGAGGGGGAAGCAACCCACAACCACAGGAGGGGGAGAAGGAACCATTGGGGGGGGGAGGGGGGGGGGGCCGGCCGAACCGGGATCATATATGGGTAGTTTTCTGAATCAGGGTCCCTTCATTATACGGGTGCCATACCATTTTGGGACCTAAACCAGGACCCTAACCTAGCAACCCCTGAGATGGAAGAAGCACCAGTCATAATTCAACCATGTTCCAAATTTCTGGAGATCGCTGTAGGTTTTTCATAGGCTTTCGGACTTTCGGGCGTGGCGCGCAAGGTAAGAGTCCCCCCCCCCCCCATCAAGGGGCGTTTCGGGTTGCACATTGCGCTGCACGGCTCGAGAGGTTCAGGATGCGGCCCAGCGGGCACCCCGAAGACCTCGGCCCTCAGCCCTCAAACCTGAACTGTACACTTATCCCCGACACTCGCCCTAGACCTGATGCCATCTGTATATACATGTATATGTATATGCTGATATACATATATATATATATATAGAGAGAGAGAGAGAGAGACCCTGGAACAAGAACAAGTCTGCATATTCATTAATACATGTATATATACATATAGAGAGAGAGAGAGAGAGAGAAAAAAAAAGAGATAGACAGACCATAGAATCCCTAAAGCCAACAGCGGCAGGGGGTCGGCTCGGACCGGTGCGATCTCATCTGGACATCGCCTCCCATCTGCTGTTTAAGGATTCAGGTTGAGTTTTTTATCGTTTAGGGTTTGGGGTTTAGGTTTTTAGGCTCGCGAGTGTCAGCTCGACTCCTCTCCTTGCTTTGAAGAAGCGGGGGACAGAGGGGGGTTCTTGCTGTAAGCGGGCTGCTGGACAACGAGGCCTGCTGCAAAAAGGGTTTAGTGTGTGGCATTTACAGCTGAAGGTTAAGAGTTAAGATTTCAGGATGCAGGTTTGAGGGGTCAGTGTGATAGATGGACCTCAATACTTCAGGGCTCTCGAGTTTATATGGCATAACCGATGTACTTTGAAATCGAAAAATGGTCCACTAAACTGGTACATGTACATCGCTTTAAGGTACCTTTGTTACTCTATGCATATATATATATATATATATATATATATATATCAGGGAGGTTAAGGACGAATGTGACTTCAGCTGCCTGCCGATTAGTACCCGAGAAGCATTCAACAATAGCTCAAAGTAGGTACTATTGCTAGACAGAAGCCCCGAAGTAGGTACTATTTGTGTTTCCGGGAGAAACACCAATCCATGTTTAACCCCGGCTCGAAACTAAACACCTGTTTCGATCAAGCTCCACATGTCGCAACAGGCAAACGAACCTCAAATTGCTGCCGGCGGGTTTAGGGACCATGGCATTGTCTAAAATGCTAAACGGCTTCGACAACTTAGACCATAACCGCTATAGGTTTAACACAGAAAGAAGGATGTTTCTCTGGTTTGACATGCGGCCTATCTTACGAGGTTGCTACCGTGTTGGTTGTTGTTTTCGCGTCTTGTCAGCTGCTTGGTCTTTGGTTTCACCGAGCCGGTCATCGACACATGCCTCGCCTGGATGATCCGGGTTGCCCGCGCCGAAACCCTAAACCCTACCTGGACCCTGAAGAGCTTACCTTTTCAGGACTTATATATACGGAGATCATCATAAGCAGCTCTAAAGAGGTAGGTTCTTTGGGGTTCGTATAAAACCCTAAGCCCTCAGACCTAACCCCTCCGATCACGGGGACCTCCTCCTGAATCCCGACACCGGAGCCCGAAGGCTTATCCATAGGCTCCATAGTAGGTCCTTTTAGGGATTACCTTATAGGGTTCTAAATATGAAACCCAGAAAGGAATTACTATGGAGCCTATGTCTATATGCGGCTCCAAAGTCCTAAGGTCTATACGCCTGCAAGGCACAAGCCAAATCAGCATCCAAGAAACGTCAAGAAACACTCATATAATCTCGAAAATACTCGAAAATACTAGCCTACGAAGCCGCAGTCCCAAACCCAAAGTACCCAAGTATCTGGTCTTTGGATCCTGAGACCTAAATGTTAAGCTCCTAAGCCCCAATTTATGCATGAACCCTAAACCCCCCAAGAGGCAAAAAGCTCCGAAACCCAAAGCCCCAAATACTAAAAGACGATAAGCCCTACAGGAAGGCTACCAAGTTTTGGGCGATGCTCTCCGTCGCCACCCGAACATCACGGAGCTCGACCTCAGCAAGAACTTCTTCCAAGGATACGTTTGAGGTCTCTTTCATTCAAGGCTCTAGACGGGTTTTAGGAGAGTTTATAGGAATGAATTTTAGGTTTAGGGTTCCTTCAAGCGCTCGTTTTGGGGTTCCTGTAGGCTGTAGGGTCTAGGACTTCAGGATTGTAGGGTTGGGAACTCTCGGCTTCCACCAAGGATGCTACAGTTTGTCAAGGTTTCTATAGCTTTAAGGGTTCTATATGGGTACCATAAGGATTCAGGGCATAGGGGCCCATGTACCCTGCAGGGATTCTTTAAAGGGCTCTATGCAAGTCAAGGTTTCTAACAGTGAGCCATGAGTGGTTTAGAGCCTAGGGCTTCCGGGGTTGGGATATTTAGGGTTCAGAGCTGTATCCGGGCTTTTCTAGTCTCTGGATCTTACACTTTAGGGCTTTATAAGGTCACGGGCTGTAGGGATTTGAAGATCTTGAAGCTCAGAGATTGGGTTGAGGGTCTTAGTTTAGGCGACGAGTAGTATTACTGCTTTTATTGATTACTGACTACTTTTTTCTTGGGTATTGTTGTCATCATTCTAATTACTTCTGGTTCGGAAACAAACCAAGAGCCTAAATCCCTGAAGCGCCCCTCAGCAGTGGACATTTCTTGCAAAGCCCTCGCATGGCCTGTTCGAGAGGGAGAGTCGAAACAAGCCCTCCCCGCAACGGTCCAAGTACAAATTATAATTATCATATACTCCCCAAAATAGTAGCCTACGTAAGTACTATCCTAAACCCGAATACCTGATTATTGGATCCGGGGTTCCTGCATGAGGACCGGGCTTCCCGCATTTGCTGCGTGGCGTGGCCGAGATGAAGGCCCGGGCTTACTTTATGAAGTTTATTTGAGGAGGGGGTTTCGGGCTTAGTAGGTGCTGGAGTTCGAGAGGGGTTTCTGGGGGTTGGAGCATTTTTGATATATTTCGGGTGCAAGGGCGGCGGGTTTCAGGATGTAGGAAGTCTAAGATCAGGCATGTGGCCCGCCGGGCCCTGGTCCGGGAGTTAAGGCTGTACCTAGAGGCTCCATAGCGCTTCCTTTTGGGGGCTCATAGTTAGAAGCCTATAAGGTAATCCCCAAAAGGAGCTACTATGGAGCCTATGAGTATAGGGCGCACTGGGTTTACGATCTGGCTTAAGGTATAGAGCGCTTTAAGGGCTTTTGGGGCTTAAGGACGTACAGGGTTCAGCGGAGTGAGAGCTTCGAATCCAAGGCCCTCTCTATAAAGTCGTGTGTTTGATGGAAGAGCTCTTTAGAGCTTTAGGCTTTAGGTGTCCTTTGGTGTCCTATGTATGTGGAGTATCTTGGTGCAGCAGTAGTGAAGGTTCCTGGGCGCAGGACGAGTTAGCTTATATGGGCGACGGGGGTGCATGGGTTTAGCAGCATGAAGTTGTGGTCGCACGCAGTTGGGGGATATATCCAGAAGACATCTTTTGCATCTTTTCCTGCATGTGGGTTTTGGCGACACGTGTCGCTCGGCGCAACCGAGGACTTGAACATGGCTCTCGATTTTAAAACGGTGGCCTTGTTCTCTTGGGTAGGGTGTAATTTGGGGTATGGACTCATATTATCAAACAGGGTACCCGATGCAACAGTAGTGGTAAATCAGTGTTCTGCCTTTTTCGCCTGCCATCCTGAACAGAAGGAAGGTTAAAGGTTTCAGATGAGGGTTTTTTTGCTTAGCATGTGGTTTGCTGGCCCGCATGCGCCTGCCTTACACTCTGCTACGGGACCGGACATTCCGCAATCCCATGTAAAGCCCGCTGTTCATATGAACACTAAACCATGAGCCTGGACCCTATAGGGCTCCAAGTATACACATGGTGCCTACTTTGGGGTAAAGTCTATAAATGATAGTACCTACTTTGTATTTGGAGCCCCAGGGAGAATTCTGGGGTGCCCTCATGTGGTTCCGAGCTTGCCAGGCACTGTCTCTGGTCAAGCTTGGCACAGCGCCGATTCGCTTTCAGGACGTTAAGAGCCGCTGTCGGGGCGGGGAAAGGCTCCGTATCGATTCATACATGCATGCATGCCTACATACATACATGCATGCATACATACATGCATACATACATACATTCCATTCCGAGCATTCAGAGGAGTTCGCTGCTTAATTAGACATGCAAAGTGTCCGTCCTTACGTCCAGTATGCACTCGCCCATGCTTCGCAAAGGCTGGGCAGAAATCTGCGACTTCAGGACTTGAGCAACAAGAGAACGGGTTGCAATGATGCCCGGCATAAGGAGCCAGAGATCAAAATCAGAACAACCGCGCCATTTCTTGCTTCAAAACTCATGTGGGGAGGAGACATGGAAGGGATTTAACCGGCCAAGCTCAAGTCTTGGAAAAGCCGTCACTTCCGCATCTTCCATCCTTCTAACAAACTGACAATCATCAGAGATCCCTTTATACACCATGAATCACCACGAATGCTTCAGGTATCTTGCATGCCGTTACATGCCTCGCGCTCTGCGGACCAGCAGCTCATCGCCAACGTTGCCAGGTGTAAGCCTGCACCCAGCTTCTAAAGGCCAGCGCCCGAAGGTTTCTCAAGGCGTGCGTCTTCAGGGCGTAGGCCGCCTCTCGGAGCACAAGCCCGCACGAAATGTTGCTCTGCTGGAGGCTGCCCGTCTCCTGAAATAGCATGACCAACGCCACCAGTATAGCACAACGCGAGCCACAACTCCGCCTGGATCAAAGGGCACACCTGCAGGCTCGGCATGATTCGTGCCCAAAGCTTCTGACAGATGCCACTCCGCTGTCTGCCAGTGGCCCCTGCCGACCACCACCTTGTTGGTGGGCCTTACAAACGCGAGGCCCATCGTACCCAAGGCTTCCTGTCCACTCACGCAAGACGGCCTCATCTCATGGAGCAACATCTCTGCAGTCAGCACACATTCTACCATCACATTGAACGGAAAGTGCTCTGCTACTTGCCACCCGCCCTTCGCGCCCGAAGAATCGGCGAGCAATGAGTTGTGCGTCGTGTCTCCGGAAACTGCACTCTGCGTGACAACAGCGTTACACTGATGCGTTGCAGCCGCTTGCAGGCTGAGCGGTTCCCAAGTCCCACGCCACTTCTGCACGATGCCAAAATCATCGTGCAGTTGCATAAACAACTGCCTCCCACGACTATGCAAGCACGCATGGCTGCATTCTTCAAGGTGGTCAATCCTCTCATCCACCACCTCGCCATTAACCAAGCAGTCTTTGGTGTCCGCCTGTGCAGTAGGCACCTTTCGGCAGTGCATATTCCCCTCCGGGCCATTGCACTGCTGGTCGTCTGAAGCAGGCTGGCGCAAGGCCAGCTCACTGCTGCTCACCTCGCAATCCCAAGAAAGAGACGAATGCCCACATGGGCCAGCCAGTGTAGAACCTTCCAGGACGTGAAGCTTTAGATCCGTGCGACTCCGGCACGTGCAGAAGTCCGTGTATGTTGGGAAAACCACGGAACCAGAGTCGAATGCGTCGTAGGACGGCCACTGAAGCCCACCACACACCTGGCAGCGATGTCTTGCGTGCCTCTTAAGCCTCAGCGGTGCGTGCCGAGTTCCATGCATGGCGATTGAAACGGCACTGGGGTTGTCGGCAATGCTGGCGCTTTTTTTGGCGCCAGCTCGATCCGAAACCCTACATACATACATACCTACATACCTACATACCTACATACCTACATACCTACATACCTACATACCTACCTACATACATACATACATACATGCATACATGCATACATGCATACATACAAATACATAGATACATATACATATAATGTGTGTTTGTATGTGTGTTTCTGTAAATATGTGCGTATGTATATACATGTACGTATGTGATTATTATGTAGTTTAATGTATGTAATTAATGTATGCAACGTATGTAACGTATGTAAGTACGTGTTTATGTCTTTATGTGTATGTGAATACCTACTTACGTCGCAAGGATACATACATATAAACATACTTACTTGTTGATTTCTTCAGTAAATTATCATAGGCCCCGCACTTGTTGTGCAGGGGAGCTAAGGGTCTTGGATTTTGAGTTTCGGGCCTTGGGTTTCATGTTGCGTTCGTTGAAGCTTTCGGTAGTGCAGGTGCCTACCTAAAGGCTCCATAGTAGTTCCTTTTGGGGGTTCATATGTAGAATACTACAAGGTAAGCCCCCAAAAGGAACTACTATGGAGCCTATGGGTAAACAAGTACTATTCGTTATCTGTAGCATCCCCTGGTGTAGCACCATATACTCCAAAGCCCTGTTCTAAATACCACTTGCTACGGTCTGTATCATCGAACCCTTATACCCTTTCTCTAGCAGAGCCCTCAAGCAAACCCCATTCGAAGCATGGAGGCCCCTGCACTGAACCCTTATCCCTCAAATCCTTGTTGTAGGATCCCTAAACGACCCCAACACCTTATCAAGCCTTAGTCTATAACTTCTAAGGCCCTGGCATCCCAAAAGGGTCCGAAGCATGTTGTGTATGGTAGACCCTAGGGTTTCCACAGCAGGAATTACGATCATGATTTGGAGAAGTATCGCCCATGTAGGCCCATATAGGTACTTAGGACCCTTTGGGCGTTTCCCCTACCCCACCCGCGCTTTTCGCCCAACGGAGCCGGGTCCGCATCCGACGTCAGCTCTGACCTTTTGCCAAGAACTGGAGATCGGTTAGGTACGGCCCCCACTCAGTCCCTATCTCTCCAGGGACCTCATATTTAGGGCCCTAGACCCCTTAAGGACCCCATAATAAGGTCCCTGGAGGCATAGGGAGTACTAGTTTAATAATATTCATAATACAGATGTATTAGGACCTCAACAGTAGCCCTATGATAGACTCCTACTGTATGGGGGGCCGTACCCAAGAGATCGGACTGTGATCAAGGGACCTGGCAAGCGGGGTTGTAAGTGGTGTTAAGTAGCCTAAAAAGGCACTGTCCGAAGGAACTACAAGGGATACTTGATAATCGGGTTTTTGAAAGGGTTCGTCTGTTGTCGTTTTCAGGAAAAGCCATTAGATTAAGAATTTAGTTAGTAACTCCTCGTAGTCCCTGTGATAGAACCCTCCCCCAACACTCGAACCCCCTTAGCCCACCCCTAAATCCTCAAACCCCTACCAATTTCGGCCCAGATGCTGAAAGGGTCAGGTCCTCACAGGGGATAACGCCCTGCACGGCCGAACCCCGAATGCATGCCTTTACTTCGAAGATGTCCCGATCTTCCAAAGTCACGATGAAACTTGGCGCGCCGTGTTTTTTTAGCCTGGAGTCGCTGCAGAACCTTTGGTGTTGCAAAGGCGTTTCAGCTGGCGTTCGCCATCGAAGTCGTGTCATCTACTTGGGCTACTGCGCTCTGTCGTTTATTCCGAAGCTGCTGCACATGCAGCATACCGTTCAGGATGATCACATCTGGGAAATGCCATCAGTCACAGTGGCAGGCACTGGTGCCATGGTTCTCATGCTCGCCGGAATCGTGAGCTGGTGCGCCATGGATCAAATCACGGAAGCCAACATCTACATCTTAGAGGATCCATGTGCGAGCAGGCGGCTGTTCAAGTTCTTGGCTTGCTCAACGATGGTCTGCTACCTGTATCTGGGCCGTATTCGGAAAAGGAGTCCTAGAATGTAAGCATAGGAACGTAGAGCTTTGATCAGAAAGAGCCGAAGCCAGAGCTGCCGGATTTACATATGGCTTAAAATGGCTCACAAGATAAGCCCAGGTATCCAGTGCTTTTCTTCGGGCAAGCCCAGCTGGTGGCAGAGGGTCTTTCGGTCATCGGTGGAGTCTACTGTTTGCTCTGGGTTCCGCTTATGGACAGCTCCCTGGCCTCATGCGGTTTGGGTTTAATGGTTGGTTTTAGGTGGGGTTTCAGGGGTGGCGGTAAAAGGGTTCACAAGAGCCGCATAGACAGAGATTGCATTTTCTGGAGAAGTGAGGTTCCTCGGACACTCATTGCTTTGTGCTTTTCTGGTGCTTCCTCGCAATCCTTCGGCTGTCTCTGGTGGGCGCAGAATTCACCGGGCCAATGGAGCAACCCGTCAGTTGTTGAAGGTTTAAAGGGTTCTTGTCCAAGTCTGTGCAAAGAGGGTTCTTGTCCGAAACTTACATGTAAAAAACCCTAAACCAAAAAAACTAAACCCCTCAAACCTGTTACACTTCAAGTCGAGAAGTGTCAAAAAAACCCTGTTACACTTAAGCCGACTTCATTGTGCGGTATTGGAAAAGGTAAGGAACCGGAGCTGTGGGCCCGGTTTCGGTGTGTCGACATGTGAGTTTCGAAACAAACCTGGCTTTTGTGTGAGCGCCAAAGGGCTCTATACCTATATATATATATATATATATATATATATATATATATATATATATATATATAGGGCATATATATATATATATATATATATATATAGGGCATACCTCCCCAGATCAGAATAGCCTGCTTCCTAATTACTACACAAGCCCTACATTCGATCAACTGCACTAGGTAATTAGGACCCGGTGGGAGGACCGAAACAGCGGCTCAGGTATTGCCTCAAGCTCTATATAGTGGAGGGCGCGATTCTGCGCTTCCTGCTCTGCCGATACACAAAGGGCGCGGAGTTCCGGGTTGAGGCCGTGACAAAACTACGTACACCCGGAACGGTGTGGAAACTTTGGTGTTCAAGATTTGGGGGAAATTTTTCTGGTTGTTTGTTAGGAGTCGGTACTACAAGTCACTTGTAATTCGTCATGGGCCCAAGCAGCTAATTGCCTTATTGAGCCCTGCACCCTAAACCTTAGACCCCAAGAGTCGACGAATTGAGGTTCTGTCTGTGCTTTCCGAGTATAGCCGTTCCCATGCTCGGGCGTTTATGGAACTGGTGGCTCAGGGCTTGGGGGGTTTTGAGCTTCCCATTTTGAGGGTTAAGGGTTCCATGGTTCGGGATTCAATTTTAGTGTTTTATGAGGCCAGCGAACATGCTTGTCAGTGCCGAAACAATAAATTTCTATTCCGAAAGCCTAACCCGGCGAATTTCGGTCCTTTTAGGATTCAGCTTTCGCTTGTGACACACTCCGCAAGGGAGGATTAAGCATATGCTTTGTTGTTGGTTCTAAGGGTGCTCGAGCTGAAATGATCTAAAGCCTAACCCTAAGGATCCAAGCACCTAATAATCATATACTCTCCAAAATCCTAACCTACATGACTACAGTCCTAAACCCAAGTTACTTCTTATTATTGGGTCCTTTGGACGTAAAATTCGCGCCAGGCACGTGCTCCACTTTGTCTTCGAGCTGCTGTGGACTCGGAGAGTCGCAGGCAGCAGCCACCTGCCCCCACTGGAGCAGGGCTTAGGGTTGACCTTAACCCGGAAGAACCTACCTTTTTGAGGTCGTATATATAAGGAAACCCTAAAAAAGTAGGTTATTCAGGGTTAAGGTAGGGGTTTAGGGTCTAGAGCATAGCGTCGGAGAGGGGTGGCTTACGGGTCATAGCATCCCCTTCACCCTCCCCAGTTTAGGGTTCATGCGGTGCTTGGACCCTGAGGAACCGCATGATTTAAGGCTTCCTGATTATGGTTTTCTTGTGCCAGTCCTTACCCAAAGAGTCCAAGTATCATTATGGTATATACTTATAGGGTATGTTGGGGGGTCTAAGTATATACCATAATGATACTTGGACCCTTTGGGTTAATTGATAAGGTAGGCTCGTTGTGTCCAAGTAGGGTTTAGGGTAAAGTGTACGGCTTCTGGTGTGTTGAGCTGACGGTGAGGCAGATTCTTGGTTCAAGGGTTAGGGTTTCCTATAGGGACCTAAATAATTACCTACACTATTTTTGTGATTCCTTGCTATCAGTATAGTACAAAGTAGCCCAAACCCCTATTCTAATTATTAAGGCCCCTATATATTAGGGATCCTAAACCGGTTTAGGGACCCCCCTCACCCGCCTCACCCCCTCCCGAAGAAGACATCAAGGTTCCTTCAGTTTTTTGCTCGCCCCACTTCGGCCGAGCGGCATACATCACTGGAGGTGCCTGGGCTTGATGCTTTCCTTACCTTTGGTTACTAGGGAATGGAAGAATGGTAGTAATACTGCTGATGGACAAAATCCTGCATGACCCTAAGGACTTTAAACTGAGGGAATTATGGTATATTCCTTATTCTGGGTAATGCAGGATTTTGTCCATCATCAGTAGTAGTTATAATTGTACCCCATTCCTCCGCTCCCTACTAACCAAGGGTAAGTGTCGGGGTGTGCAGGGTTCAGGGTTAGGGTTTAGGGTAGTTCTCTAAATTGGGGTCCCTTTGTGGGTCCTTTCATACAGGTGCCGTATTGTGTTGGGGACTTGAAAAGGGACCCGAATTTGAAGAACTGCCCATAAGCTTTTGTTTGGTTATGAAGGTCTTTCGGATCCTCCATAAACAGATAGCAACTCGAGGAGCAGAAGACCAGCGCTGGTCTCTTCTCTTCCGTTTTTTCAGGGTTCAATTTTAGGGGTTTAGGATTCTTTAAGGAATCTATATGGGGTCTATAAGCACCTAAACCCCTAAACCCTAAACCACCCGGAGGGCAGAGGGCATGGCAATATGCGAGTGGCACCTCAAGGGCACTGGCTGAAAGGTTCCCCGTGCTCGCAGTTTCCCCTGAAGGCTTTCGGGCGACATGACCCTGAGAAACAGGGGCCCTGCACCCATACCTGAAATGCAGGGTCCTTAATAATTAGAAGAGGATTTTGGGGATTCCTTATTATAAAGTTCCAGTAGAATAGCCCTATTATTCTAATTATTAAGACCCCTACGTTACATCATGGATCCGTATCTGGTCATTGAACCTTAGACTCTTTGTGCGCACATTTCGTCCTTAAGCGTTGGCATGCTTTAAACTTGGACTCGGATTCACGATTTCACCAACCCTCACTCCAAACCCACCTCAGCCCTAAAATAAGGTGCGGTTCGGAGTTCGGAGTGGTCAGTACAGGATGTTGTCCGTGTATTTTTACTCTTTAGTACACCCCTCCCCCTGTCATACTTGTGCAAGCCCCAAAGCTTGGAGAAGCCTCTAACGGCTATAGCTGCTCAAGAATCGCAATCCGACAAAAAGCCTCACCCGCACAATGCCAGTGTGATCGTCTGTCAAGAACCCTATGCAATCCTACCACAAGTATGTAGAAAAACCTGGACCCCAAATGCAATGAACTCCTAGACAGACAAACGGGTCATGAATCCTAAAATCCTTAGAAGTCCTGCAAAACAAGACCCTGAATCCGAAGTTCTTCGACCTCCTGCCAACAACACAACCCTGACCGCTAAACCCTGCACAGACCCTGAACATGGAAGCCTGTATACTTTCTAGTACTTTTCTATTCCTTGGGATGATACATGTGCTGTGATGTGCCCCGAAGCCACAGTCTAATCGTGATGAAAACCTAAACCCTGAATCCTAAACCCACATCACCCCCCCCCCCCCCCCCCCCCCCCCCCCCCCCCCACCCCCCGCCCCCGAAGTTCGATTTAGGCCTTCGATCGCTTGCTGCTTCGCTTGGACACCCAGGAGGCGCACTTAGGGTTCTGGGTTGAGTTTGGGGTCTGGGCTTGGTTTAGAGTTTCGGTGGTTTGGATTTGGGGCTTCTGGGTTTCGGTATGGAGTTTTAGAGTTTTGGCTTCTGCATTTCGGGTTTCCGGCTTAGTGCTTTCCGTTCTCCTTCGGTCCTCTACGCAGGGAACCCAACCATAGAGGAGTTTGTTCGTAGTTCCTTTCCTTTCGTCTTGTAATTTTGCCCAAGATATTTCTTTAAAACAGATTGGGTTTCTATGGCATGTGTATATGTACATACATGTCTGCATATATGTTCTTCTCGCTTTTTCAGGTTCGCACATTGCGGGAGTACCATAAATCTTGCATCTCAAAGCCCTTAAACAGGAGGGCTTGGAAGTATTTATGGCTCGGGGCTTACGGCTGATTGCTTGAAGCCTTCCGCAGTAGAGGTAGCCAGGCCCCGATATTATGAAGATCTCGAACTTGGGGGGGCCTTTGCAATTAGTTCAAGTCTGCCGCCAGCCCACGTGATTCAAAGGGGAAAAGGAGGGACCCTTAATAGGGACCCCTACCCTATAATGGGCTATATCATGGGTATATAATGGCTACATTAAGGGTATATACCTAGGGGTCCTTATTAAGCGTACCTCCTTTTACCCTTGGAGTGTTTTGTTCAACAAATCACTCTCCAACTTGGAGACTTGTTTACGGATGTGCACTTCGTCGGGTTCAGAGGCAGGCCCCGAAATGTGGAATTTTTTCGGGGTCCGAGGATGTTAGCATGCATGCGGTAAATATTTCAGCCGAACACCCCTTGATTCAGACATCTTCCTCAAATTATCTAGGGCTTCTTCAATTGATTCAGGCAGTTTTCTTCGATTCAGGAATGCTGGGCACCGCCAGAAGGCCCATTTCAAGGAGTTTTCCTACTCTCCAGAAATCGGGCCTTCTGGGAACCAAAAAACACCACGAAGCCCTATAAAAGTTTTTCAGAGCTACGAAAACTACTAGATTCACATAGAGACTCAATGCCTAATGCCAGATGCACCAACGCTCAAAAAGCAATGAACCCTAGGTATATACCTTATCTACCCTTAATATAGCTGTTATATACCCATTATTTAGCCCATTATAGGGTAGGGGTCCCCATGAAGGGTCCCTGCCCTTTCCCCTTTGAAATGTGCTGCCAGGGCTGCGTCAACGCCTTGGACCTGGCATTTTCCGTCCGACAAAGCTGGCTCAAGCGAAGGTGCCTTTTCGGAGTCCGGGTTTAGGGTTTGAGGTTTAGGGTCTATAGGGTTTGGGGTTTAGGGTTTAGGGGTTAGGGTTTGGGGTTTAGGATTTGGGGTTTTCTGTTGAGGGTTTGGGGTTTAGGGTTTGCCGTAGAGTGGCGCATAAGCGGAAGTATCTCGCGACAGTGTAGTTTCGAGTGCGTCGTCTTCTGACGATTGGCTGTTGGAGCCTGATTGCGGATGGCTCTTTCTTTTAACTCTCCCACCCCACGCCGTCTAAGGCGACCAAACCACCCAAACCTATTCCTTTTAGGGTTTAGCCCCTAAACTCATTCTATGGTTTTCTTCATTTCTTCAACCGCAGGGTTTAAAGCAGCCACACGAAAAGAAAGGAGGGGACCTCGACTTTGGCACCTGGCCCCACGAAAATGCACATTTTATGAACGGAATTTAGTATGCAAAACCAGCACCAGTTTTGCCGAAGAGGGGCAGGCAGGGCAGGGGCAGGGGAGGGGCAGGGCAGGAAAACAGGTAACAACAATTGCTGTTTTAGTCCAAGTCCCCTCCTAGGACCGGCCTGGAGGCCCCTAGGTCCTTGAATTGTGCTTGCTGGAGGCCCCAGGCCCTCCTGTGTCTGTTGTGGGCCCTCTAGAGCCAGCAGCTCGATGCATAATACGTTGGGTGCTTGGACGAAACTCCTGTGAATAGTCCGTGTGGGCCGGGGAGCTGAGAGGGTATCAGTTTCAAGCTTTTGCAGAGCAGGCTTTTATGGCTTCCGGTTTCTAGTCACGTTGTCTTCGACCCTAAACCAGTCCTAAACCCTAAACTGAAGTCTTGGAACCGAGTCAAACATAAGAGTGGTCTGACATCAGCCAATCTGACAACGAAGATTCTTAGGACTAGGCCCGACCTGGCCTTGATTATAGTGGTTTAGGGTTCTGGGTTTAGGGCTTAGGGTTTGGGTTTAGGGTTTAGGGTTCGGGGTTTAGGGTTTAGGGCCTAGGGTTTAGGGTTCGAGGCTTAGGGTTTAGGGCTGGCGGACGGCCTGAGTCGAAGGTTTGAGACGACAACAGTTCTACCCGTAAACAATAATCGCCGGCAGCAAGTTCGTTTCCGCCTCGGAGCCCATCGGAAGCTCGTTGACAGGGCTTACCTGGACCCTAAAGAACCTACCCTACCTCTTTAGGGTTCCCTATTCCTATTAGTCGAGTATGCAACCTTTAACCTTCTTTGGGTAGTGAAGTCCCTATAGAATCCCTATATAACCAAAAAAGTTAACCTCTAGTTCCCCATGACACCCGACGAGTAGGTGTTATGATGTCTTTATATAAGTCGATCCTGAATAAGTAGGTTGTTTAGGGTCAAGGTATTGTAGCCTGCCGTCTTCACAGTCCTTTTCAACCACGTTGCAACAACCCGCGCCTCATGGTAACATGGACCGCTCATGCCATGAAATCCAGGAGCTTGCGTGCCAAGTAAGAAGCGAAGGGTTCCACCGATCATGATCATCGATCATCATGATGGGGAAAAGAATGATGCTGATGCCAACGGAAATTGTTGGTAGTCTTGTTCGTATGAAGAGGAAGGCGGTTCTTGCGATTAAACTACACTTGCACACATGCAAGGCACACGCGTGCACAGGCAAGACTTGAGAGGCCGCACACACACACACAACACAACACACTTGTCAACACCTATGCAAACCATAAACCCCAAACCCTCAGCCATACCAGAACCAACGTGGAACCTCGTCCCTTATTGAACACCTGGGTGGGGGGCCAGGTCATTGATGCGCGGACAGCTGCATGGCCGAGCATAGTCTAGTAGCAGCATGGGTTGAGAAACCCCAAGGAGTGCGTGTGGGATTGGAGTTTAAGGTTGTGGGCCCAAGGGTTTAGGGGGGTTTCGAGTCATCATCATGAGTTTCATCATCAAAATCTTCATCATGTTGTCTTCATCCTTGTTATCATCTTCGAGGCTTCAAGCGAGACCCGGCCTCCGATGCGCATCGGTAGTGCGGACCCGAAAGGGGGGCCCAGGTGTGAGGACGCCGAAATCTGCATGGAGTCTAGAGATCTCTGTCACCATGATCTTCCCTTTGCTCGTAGGTACTGTTTCGGTTACCGGAATTGTATTAGCTCCATCTGCAGCATGAACGATTAGATAATTAGATGTTGACCCTGCAGGTAAAATCCTCAGTTAGTGAGCAGCGGCAGGTTGGGTCAATATAAGATCGGGCCATTAATGCTGCTTCAGGGCACCCTCAACTGCCAGCCCTGGACTCCAAAGCCAAACCTTGAGCGGTTTAAGGTTTAGGGTGTTGAGAGGCTGGCGTCCAGGGTTTAGAGGCATGGTTCTGCAGTTGATGCGTGGTGGCTGGTAGTGTTTGGGGTGTTTTCTCTTCAGGGTCTCACGGTAATGCTGGACTCGAAGAATACCAATAGTACCCCCGCACAGTATCTATTCATTAGAAGCAAAGCACTGCAAAACGCACCGCCCTACTGTAAATGCCAATTAGTCGGACAGCTATACTTGGCATATGCCTCCGCCCTCAATAAACACTGTGAACCCCCAGCCTTAAGCGCCTAAACTAGACCCCAAACCCCACGTAAATGCCTGACCTTTGAGGATGATTTTCACCTACCACTGCGTCTGCAACCTCCAGTTCAGGCCTGATAAAGCCTAGAGCTCATCGAATCTAGGAACCTGATTAAGAAACCCTGGGCCTATAACCCCAAAATAGTAGGATTCATGTAATAAGGCCCAAGGTTTCTTAAGCAGGTTCCTACATTACTTTGACCCCAAAGCTACACAGATGTTGGGCCATTATTTCAGCTACTTCTGCGCGTCTAGGCAGGGCTCATGGAGACATCAGATCAGGGTGTTAGGTTTCGGGTTTAGGTTTCGGGTTTTTGGGTTCGTGCACGTTGTTCGGTAGTGCGCCTTGGGTGCACGTGTGCGTGTATGTATGTGTATGTACATATTACTATTGTCAAATATGAATAAGGACATAAACAAAACATATATGTATCAATTATGCGCAAGTATGTACGGCTTCAGGATGCATGGCCGAAGGGATTTCGCGGTGTGCTTTTGGAGTCTTTCGATTCAGGCTGCAGGGAGCTTACGGTTTAAGCTGCAGAGCTTGTGGTGTTTTGTCTGCAAGGTTTGTTGGAGTTTCGGTTAGGGTCCCTAAACCCTAAACCCCTAGGTAGGAGGGAAAAGACCCTAAACCCTGGAAATTTAGGCTGTAATTAGGTGGCCCAAACGATGAGGAATTTGGCTCCTCGCCGGGCTCCCGAATCCAAAAGCCCAACAGCAGCAACCTAGTTATTCGCTAAGACCCCCATACTTTGAGGGTTTGTGGAGGGTGTGTTGCCGTAACAGGCGCAGTTTCGGGTATGCAGGGGAAGAGGATTTTGAGCTTGGGGACGACGGTTTTCGGAGGGTCCGGGGCTTGGCTTCGGGGTCTGGGGTTTTGGAATTAGGGTTGAAAGCCTTTCAGGGTTCGGGGTCGAGGGTCTTGGACGAACGGGCATTATCGGCTGGGAGTTCTACGCAGTCTTGCGGTTTTAGGAAGTTTATACAGAAAGGCTCCATAGTAGTTCCTTTACGGGAGTACGTTATGGGATTTTTGAAAACGAACCACAAGAAGGAGCTACTATGGAGCCTATAGGTAGGGTCTATGCTTTTGGTTTGGGATCTACGGTTTCGCGGTGCCATGATCAATGCATCGTGTGCGGGCCCTGTTCAGTCCTAGATTGCCGTCATGCTCAAGGTCTGGGCTTAAGATTTGGGGTTAAAGCCCCTAGAACCCACACCCCAAAGCCTGCAGCACTCAAGCTCTGAGTTCAGGGGGTGAGGAAGGGGTGACTCGGATCTAGGGTTCAAGCTGGTAGCTGTTGAAAGCATACAAACCCTATATAAACCCTAAAACCCGAAACCCTACACTAGAACCCTCACCCCTGAAGGAAACATGAACACTAAAACCTTAAACCTAAAACCCCAAAACCCTGCACCCTCAACTCGAGCTCCCTGTCCAGGGCCGATGTCGTCTGGAAGATTTTGGAGTTTGCCGGAGACGGGTGTCATTCAAAAGAGGCACATAAGGGGGGGGGGGATTGGGTTTAGGGGGTTTTGGGGTTTCAGGGTTTAGGGGTTGAGGGGTTTAGGGCTTAGGGAAAGAGGCACATGTGGGGGGGGGAGTGACTTTGGAACTTTAGGGTTTACCTGTGGGCCCCACGGAGCCCACAACTTTAGGGTTCCTGGGTTGGTTTCCCTACAAAAAACGACCCTTCAAAAGCTACGTCCTCTAGGGTCCAGGTAGGGTTTCTTCCATGCTCCGGGACTCGGCACACGCTTGCTGCAAAACCTAGGACGACCCGTACTTCGACACCTGGGACGCTTCCAGCCACAAGGCCTGGGCTCTTGGCTCTTTTCTGTTGAACATATCCTGCGCTCCCCAAACCGTAGTCTGTCTATTCGGGCCTTTGTCGGTACTAGTGGGAGGAGGTTCTGGGCCAGCGAAACCGGCTGAGATCTTCAACTAGGCATTGCCTTGACGAGAAGATTTCAACTGTTAGCCGTGTAGTAGGTTGTACTCGTTGGGTGCGCACTTGCCTTCTGTGGCCATGATCCCAGCAGGTTAGTTTCGCCCCATCACAGACATCGAAGCACATGCCTCGCCTGGCCCGTTTGAGTGTGAGCGCCGAAAGCCCCGAATCCCAAACCCCTCTCTTAAGCCCTAAACCGTAAACCCTTAACTCCTCAGCCTCCTGAAAAACTCTCAACCCCAAACCCCTCTCTCTCTTAAGCCCTAAACCCTAAACCCTTAACTCCTAAGCCCCCCCTATAAAACCCTAAACCCTAAACCCCTCTCTCTCTTAATAAGAAGCCCTAAACCCTAAGCCCTAAACCCATAACTCCTAAGCCCCCCCTATAAATCCCAAAAGAACCCGCAAGGACTCCGCACACAGCTCTCTGACGAGCGTCGAGTTCCTCACGAGACGGCTGTTTTGGTTCTTGCATCAGTGATTAGACTACCTTAACCTACAAGACCCTACTTTTTTGTAGGGTCCCTAGAAATTGCATATTAGGTTTTATAATAAGAACCTACAAAAAAGTAGGGCTTGGTAGGTTAAGGTAGGGGTGTTATAGGGGTTTACACGGTTCATGGTTTAGGGTTTAGGGTTTAATGATCCTGTAACCGTTGATACGTAAGATCCGGTCATGCCTCGACCCGGTGTGCAGGAGTTTGCTATTGGATAATGTTGGAGAGTCGCATGGTTTTTTTGGGCCCAGCTTCGAAAATTGGCACAAAAGACAACTAATCGTGTGAAAGGGAATTGGCATCAAGGGATAGGCCCTAAACCCTAGAGGCCCTAAAAGCCCTTATCCCTAAACCGGGTCTAGGTAGAGATTCATCGTCTTTTCACTCCCGGATCAGTCTTGAGAGGCGACTTCTCCTCGAGATGCCCAGACCTTCCAAACCCCCTTAATTAAGGAATATACCCTAAATTATAGTAGGGTCCCTAATATGATTTAAGGTATATTCCTTTAGGGATTTTGGAAGGTCTGGGTGTTTAAGCGCCTCTGTCTGCAATGTCTCGGGCTGCAACGGAGGCTCTCGAGCAAGCGCCATACAATAGGAGCCTTAGAAATTGGATCAGGGTTTTGGGCCCATGATACTGTAATCATAAGGAACCCCCAAAATAGTATAGGTATATTTAGGCCCCTTACAACAAACCAGGCTTTATCCCATCGGCTGTATATGAAGTGGGTGAAGCATCGACATCAGCACCTGCACAGGTTGGTATGCTGAGCCATTGTAAATGCACAGAAGTGTGAAGTCAGAAACAGGAAGCCTGCGCGAGGAAGCTGCTGATGTCAAGCCACCCACTCAGGAACCTTATTACAGCTATGGTTCCAGCTCCGACGGTCGATGGGTTCCGGGGTGCGTGAGCTTTCCGAAACATGCACAAAAGGTTGCATATACCCGTACCGCCGCAAAACGCGCATCATAAGTTAAGTGGCCCGGAGCAGAACGCACCCAACACCAATGTCCGAAACCGCACAGAACTGCACTATGAGCATTGCATTGCAGGTTCCGTGTGCGTACGCTCTTTCTCGGCATGTGTCGAATTCGGTTTTGAATTGAACTAATATAGCCGCAGAACCAGCCACAATTGATTCAAGACCCATGCCGACGTTTTAAGACAACTGTCTCGGGCGTCATGTCCATGCGACGTGTTTCATGACGCATGTTGTCACACGATTTGGCTCTCTTCTGGTTGATTGTTAAGAAAGGGACGTGTATTTAGAATTTCCTATACTATTTGGGTATTCCTCATTATATAACCATATGAGAATTTACCCCAAAACCCTATTACAATCAAAGGCCCCTATCACATATTACTTGTTGGGATTCTTATCTGACCCACAGGCCCAGAGCCTGCTATGCCCATGAGGCCTTTAGAAGTCAGCCAAATGGGAGTTTCCGAAAATGAGGGGTACCTTATTTTGGGGGTCCTGATAATGAGGATCCTACTACTTAGGGTACTATATTAGGGTCCCCTATTTTCGGAATCCCCCAAATGAGTTTGCAATCGTTATCAGACGGTTCGCAACAGCCCAATGAGCTGCTAAAAAGCATCTTCCTGTCTGGGGTTCAGGGTAGAAGGGGCCCCCACCCTGTAACAGTGGTATAATAGGAATATGATCGGGCCCCAATGTAATCCTTATAGTCACTATTACAGGGTGAGGGCAGCTTCTAAGGTTTAGGGTTTAGTTGTTGGGGCTCCTCTTCGACGACTGATGTCTTGCCTTCCTGCTCATACACCTACAGCTGAAGCCCTTTCTGACAAGATATCCCTACATGTCCCTACCAAGCTCTTGTGATTAAGCCTTCCGCAATATGAGAAACCCGGCAAGCCGCACCCGAAGCTCTGCCAAGCCGCTCTGCAATAGTGAGTCTGAGACATGGCACCCAAAGAGATGACTTCACTACCCTCGTTTCATGCAAGAATGAATCCTTAATTTATGCGTATTGGGCAGAGAGGAAACATAATATAGTGAACTTCCCAGTAACCCCCTTAGACTTGTCTCAATTTTGTCTGTCAAGTTCTGATGCCTCACGCTCGGCCTTGAACGACTCAAGGCGGCTCAGGGTGAAGATACCCAAAGGCCCCAAAGCAGTTCCTTTTTGAGGTTCATACATAGAGTCCTATAAGGTAATCCCCAAAAGGAAGTACTTATGGGCCTATGGGTAAATCCTGGCTGTAGGATGCTGAGGTTCGGGTTCGCGTGGAAGCATAGTCTCAGAAAAGGAAAAGAAGCTCGGTTAGGGTTTGGGCTAGAGGACTCAAATCGTCATCTCCTGGTTACTACGAAGTGTTGGGAGCAGCCAACCCAGGCGGAACGGTTAAACCCTAGACCATTTAACCCCTCAGCTCAAAACCCTAAACCCTAATCCTTGACGCAACTCTCTAACACTTTGTCGTGCGACTCGGCGAGGAGTTGCTGTCCTGCAAGGAGATTCAGGCAGAAAGCATTGCCGAAGTTGTGGTCCAACTTGGTGGCTATAAAACTTGTATAAATTTTAACAAATACCAAGACTTGTCACGATACTATTTTGGGGGGTTCCTCATTATGAGTATAGTACAATACAAACCCAAAACCCTATTCTCATTATTTAGGCCCCTATCTGAGTCCCTATCTAATTATATTGGAGCTGTCATAAGCCTGGGTTCATTGCAAAGGAGATTGCCCTGAACCCTGTGGTTAATATTTGCATAAAAGAAAGAAGACCCATGGCAGCTGACTTGCAGCAAAGGCTTTGAGTAGGCTCCCTACCTATTCCTGCGTGGGATCTCCCGAAAGCAGGTGGGAAACAAACTGCGTGTAGTGTCGAGCCACAACTCTGAAAGCAAGGCAAAAGCCCTGCTAGCCCTCGCGCCTAGAAGCCTCAACCCTACGCCTTAAAAACCCAATGTAGGGGCCTTGATAATTAGAATAGGGTTTTGGGGCCCTTTATATTTTTTTTATGCGAAGGAACCCCCAAAATAGTGTAGGTAATACCGCTGTATTAACCCTAAAGCCTTTTAAGACCTGACACCCCAAACTACACACCTCACCTGGTATTGTCGAGTGTCAGCGTCAATCAAACCCTAAACACGAAAACCTTAGACCCTAAACCCTAATTCTGAAATTCTAACACCGGAAACCTTAAAACCCTAACTGACCCTAAACCCCAAACCAAAGCCCTTAAAAACGAAAGCCCCCAAAACCCTAAAACCGGAACTGGCTCGAATCCCTGGAAGCCTCCTGGGAGTTTCCGGGGTACCTTTTTTTTTGGTGTCCTTATAATCAGGATCCTACTATGTAGGGTACCATCTTAGGGTCCCCTATTTTCGGAAAGTCTTTCCTCTGAACGCAGGCCTCGAGTTCCTTCAGCGCCATGGAGGCGGCTTCATGTTTGACGTAGTTGGGTAACGTTTTACATGTTTAGGGTTTAGGGTGGTTCGACACATCCAGGCGGAGTTCACGCAAGCTTGTGCCAAAAAGGGTTTAGGGTCTGGGGTACTTAAACCCAAAAAGGAATAGAAACTTAAGTTCTCAAGCCCATCCCAACCAGGGACTAGTCATGCAGGTCATTAATATTTAGATCAGTGTCGCAGTCCTTGCTAGCAAAAAGGTTCTCCATGTCCATGACAATCCGTTTAATCGTAGGATATCGATGATGATCTTTACGAGTTTTAGGATCCTTCTCGTAGCCGTAGTAAGTAGCTGAAGGGGCGGAGGTATGAATCAGCGGTGAGACGCTGGGTTCGTCTTTTCCTCAGGTTTTGGCCTCGATACCTCGTTTTCCCATAGCAGACCTTGAAACCCAAAACCTCTAGACCCTAAATCCCTTTCTGGTTCGTACAACTCAGAGAACCCTGCCTTGACATCGTGACCTTTTGGAACCATGTTTGGAACCCGGAGCGAGTTTTTCGCATTGCTGCTGCGTTTCGATCCTGAGAAACTTTACGGGAATCCACAAAACAACCGACAGAGTAACCCTGATAGGCACGCTTATTATGGTAACCCGTACAGCTGAGCTTCTATTGCTTGAGGACACTGCTCCTCGACACGGTTCGGTATGAGGGCGATTCGAGCAGTTGGTAAGGAATCCGCAATTGAGCGTGACATCCCTGAGCCCTCGACCACAAATCCTTGACTCTCTGGGTGTTGACGAGGTTTTTGCATTCTAGAAATTTTGGAGTTTCCGAAGATTAGGGGTACCTTCTTTTGGGGTCCTTATAGTGAGGACCCTACTATTTCGGGAACTCGTAAGGTCCCCGATTTTCGGAAACTCCCACATAACCAACAGATCGCATCATCACGGGCTTTGACTGTGGTCTGCATGTCATATTTATGTACACGGCGGAGATGCTGAATATAGCCCGACACACCTGCACTCTCCGAGCTGCAGTTGCGAGCGTGCACGTTAGACGAATACACCAAAATCACCCCGAAATCCCAGTTCCGATTTTCAAATTTGACAAACTTGATTGATTTTGGACTCGTGCTCCTTCGCATTGCCACTGCTTCAGACAAGAAGGAATCCCGCAGAAGACCTAATCCGTAGCCTCGGAGGCCTATATCCTAAACCCCCCCTTTCTGCGAGACAGAATAGCTGAACTGCCTGCATGTCCCTCTGTTGTTCCGTTCTGCACTGAATTTATTTCCTTCTGAATATTGAACAGGACAGGAAAAGACTATGCTTTTTTTTATCAGGGGGCTACTGCTTTACCTTGTTTGCAATCTCTACAAGCCTGAAGCCTTCCGAAGTTGCAAACCATGGATAAAACGCAGTATATAGAGAAACGTTTACAAGCATATACATGAACACACAAACAGCCAACGCGTTGGATAATTCAATTAACAAGCGTTTGTACGCATAGAATCTTTTTCTCTATATATATATATATATATATATATGCACGCTAAAAGTGAGCAGGTGCACATATAGTCATGCGTATATGAAATTTCAC